AGCATCGAGTGGTCAGAAGTTAGAGTCTCAATGTGGTGACACTTAGCACTCTCAAAATCTTGAAACCAATCCATACTACCCAAACATCTATCTAGTCTTTGACGAATTTCCCCTTCATTGTCCCAGTGATTGCTCCATGTCCACGGGTGGCCTTCAAAACCAATATCAACTAGTCTGTTCAGCTCAATGAAATGTCTAAAGTCCCTAAAACTTCTCTCCTCCCTAAACACCCCCCCCACTTTTCTTCATTGGACAAAATGTCATTAAAATCTCCAGCGATCAGGTATCTAGATCCCCACAACCTACTTCTATCAGTTAGCACCCTCCATTGTTCCTTCCTGATCCTTTGATCACAACTAGCATACACTCCAATGAACCACCATGCTGCCTGAGATTCATTACCTTCAATCTTAGCTTTTATAGTAAAAGCAGTAGTGGCCACCTCTACAATTTGTGTATCCTTAGTCCAAAGTAAGGCCATCCCCCCTGCTCTATTCATAGCTTCCACAGTCACATTGTTGTCTAGCCTTAACCTTCTAGTTATTCTATCTATGGCAGTCTTCCTATTCTTAGTCTCACTGAGGAAAAAGATATTTGGAGAGGAGAGGTTATTAACCTCCCTCAGTTGGAGAGCTGTCAAGGGATCCCCACCCCTTGGCAGTTCCACACCACTACTCTCATTTACACCTAGAGGTCCCATTTAGGAAGGACCTCTCCTCCTTTTCCTTAGACTCCTTAAAATACAACTCCTCCAATTGTTTGGTTTTTTTCCACTGAAATATATCCTGATGTGCTTCCTCCATCACTTCATCTCTAGGCAGGATCTTCCTCTTCCCCACGTTCACCTGAGTATTTTCATTACCTTGTATCGCCTGCAAAGGTCTTCTGGTTCTAGCTGGAGTCTTTAATTTTCTAAAAGTTCTCCTGGTCTGTCTGTCAATTAATCCCACCATCTTATTTTCGCCTTGGGTTTCCTGGTGATACACTACGAGCTCTGATTCTTTCTCTAAGACCCTTGACTCCTGGATTTGGTTGTGCATTGCTTCAACTACATCCTCCTCCATCTCTTCCTCTACATGAGAAAGCTGGAGGTCTTCTCCTTCTTGATTAATCTGAGATAGCTCTAAGTCCTCCTTGTCGCCTAGCACCTGACCCTCCTTCCTATTATGAGAGACTGCCTTAAGAGACTCCTCTTGAGTAGAAGGTCCCACAGCCCCCTCCATTCTATTTTCCTCCCCTGCTCTTTCATATTCCTGGTTACTACATCCACCACTGCCAGTGGCCTTGAGGACATCCAACAGACTCTGACTGCTATGCATTTTATTTTTCTCCTGTTCGACCAACTCCTTATTCCTAAAGGACCAGTAACGTCTATCACTATGCTCAGAGACTCTAACATATTTTTTCTGAGGGGAGACCCTAATATTTCCTGCTCTCATCCAGGGACCGTACTGATTCTCATCATTACTCCCTCCTAGCAATCTCCTTTCTTTGCAAGACCTTTCACTATGTCCCACAATTCCGCAATTATAACAAAAATCCGGACACCTTTCATATTTGAAAGCTATCCATTTGCCAGTTCCTGCTATTCTGACCATAGTACCTCTAAGAAGAGGTTTAGACAGATCTACCATGACTAAGACCTTCAGATGCCTACCCTCTTTGCCTCCCACCTGAGGGATTACGACATCTCCAACTTCCTTAAACACTCCCCCTATCTTTCTTCCAATCTCCCTAGACAGCCAATGAACTGGCAGACTCCAGAGCTACACCCAAAGAGATGCCGTCACAAAGGCCTTATAGTCATCTTCTATGCCTTCAACCCATCTTTTGAGAACAAGCATCTGGTTATCTATTACCCAAGACCCTCCCTCCACTATTCTATCTTTATCTTCTGAGTTTTGTATGTTAAACTGAAACACATTTGGTCCCAGTTCCACCACTGACAAATTCCTGGGATACCCCCAGGCCACAGCCACAAAGTTTTTAACACCAGTGAAATTGATAACTTTTTCTCCTAAAACTCTCCCAATGATACTGTTTTCACAAGCTCTCACGCCAATTTGAAAGTCTTCCCCCTCCAGCGTGACTCCTACCAGCTCATTCCCTTCAAGGGAAAATTTCTGTAATATATCTAACAGCTCACCCTCCATGGAAAGGCTCAGCAAATTTAAGATGGTATAACTACTCTACCCACAAGAGATAAAGACCAAGACCAAGCAGTAAAAAAAAGAATAGAGAACAAAAAAAAAGACAAAAGGAAACACTAAGAAGAGGATCGAAACAGAAAAAATGCCTGATGATAGTTACTGATCACAACAGGTAGATTATCGTTGCTCACTTATACTCTTAAAAAGACAAAGAAAACAGAGCACTGACTCTTATTGTCCAGGCAATAGCTTATCATAGTTGAAGATTGTGACGCTTGATCTCCCTTTCTTTATGCACTGACTAGCTTAAACGAAGTGTAGCTGCCATTAGCCTTGAATCTAAAATCCTCTCGATCAATTACTGATGGTATATCATGATCTGGGAGTGCGGGAGAAAGAAGGTTTTGAAAAAGTTTGAAAAAGGCTAACCTCCCACCAAAGAGGTGAGTGAGCTCTTATCCCAAGAGAGAGCACAGCTACTTTAGAGTGAGAAAACCTTTACATTAGAGAGAGGATTGTACTGATCTTTTCAAACCCCTACATGATAGAAATTTTAGAGGGAATTCCACACTCTATTACTCAGGAGATGAATGATAAGTTAACCAAGGAAATAATGGAGGATGAAATCCACGATGCTTTGTTCTCTATGAATCCAGAAAAAGCTCCAAGACAAGATGGAATGACTCCATTGTTTTTTCAGAAATTCTGGAATACTATTAAAAGTGACATCATTCTAGCTATTAAAGCTTTTTTTCACTCAGGTCACATGCTCAAATCAGTTAACCACACTGTTATATCCCTTATTCCCAAAATACTGCACCCAACCAATCTGAAAAATTTCAGGCCTATCAGTCTATGTAGTGTGCTCTATAAAATCATATAAAAAATTTTGGCTAATAGACTGAAATCTGTTTTGAACCTGTGCATTAGCAAAACTCAATCTGCTTTCATCCCAGAAAGACAGATTTTAAATAATGTGATCATAGCTCATGAGTACATGCATTTTCTTAGAAATAAAAGACAAGGGAAAGAGGGCTACATGGCTATCAAATTGGACATGGCAAAGGCTTATGATAGGGTGGAGTGGCAATGTTTGTTGGAAATGATGGAAAAAATGGGTTTCTGCTCTAAATGGATTAACTGGATTCATAGCTGTTTGAAGACAGTGAGTTACTCTTTCAACTGTAATTGTGAAGTTAAAGGTTTTGTGTCACCAAAAAGAGGGATAAGGCAGGGAGACCCTTTGTCTCCATATCTGTTTCTAATCTGTTCAGAGGGCTTTTCCAATTTGCTAAGAAGGGCTGAGGAAAGCAAAAGGATCCGGGGACTCAAAATCAGTAGACACGATCCAGTGCTAACACATTTGTTTTTTGCGGATAATTCTATCATATTTTCTAAGGCTAATAAGAACGAGGCAGTGGAAATTATGAAGGTGTTGAAAACATATGAAAATGCCTTGGGGCAATTAGTCAATCTGGACAAATCAACAATGTTTTTTAGCAAAAATATGGACGATGAGCAAAAGAAGGAGGTATGCCTGGCCTTGGGAGGAATGGTAGAGGCTAAGCAAGGCAAATACTTGGGACTTCCAATGGTAGTATCAAGGTTTAAAGAGCAGATTTTTGGTTTTGTGAGAGACAATATAAGGAAAAGATGTCAGAATTGGAAAAACAAACTATTGAGTCCAGCAGGTAAGGAAGTGTTGCTGAAAGCAGTTGTAATGGCAATGCCTACATACGTGATGTCTTGTTTTAAGCTGTCCAGAAGATTATGTAAAGATATATGTGCATTGATGGCCAACTTCTGGTGGGGTGAAGCTAATGGTAAGAACAAAATGCACTGGTTGTCTTGGGAAAGAATGGCAATGGCAAAAAGTGCAGGAGGTCTAGGCTTTAAGGATATTAAAGCTTTTAATCAAGCGCTGTTAGGAAAGCAAGTCTGAAGGATACTTACTAAACCAAATCTGTTGGTTAGTAAGGTGTTGAAAGCCAGGTATTCTCCACAGGAGTCCATATTACAGTGTAGCCTCTCCAAAAATGCATCTTGGATTTGGCAAGGACTCATGGGGGCAAGAAGTTTAATCAATGCAGGAATGATTAGAAGGATAGGAAATGGAAGGAGTACAAATATTTGGAGTCACAAGTAGATCCCAGACACTGATACAGGGAAGCCAACTACTAGTCGAGGGAATAATTGTGAGCTGGAAAAGGTGGAGGAGCTTATTAGTCAGCATAGGTGGAACAGAAACATCATATTCAGATACTTCAATAGAAATGATGCACAAAAAATTTTAGCTATTCCTCTGAGCCTAGTTGAAAGGGAGGATAGCTTCTATTGGCAACCAGAGGGAGAGCTATACACTGTCAATTCTGGATATAAATTTCTAATGAAGCAACACAGAAAGAGAAGCAGGTGCAACCAGGAAGGAGCTAGCTCTAGCTATGCAACAAGTGATTCACAATTAGATCAGATGTGGAATACACTGTGGAGTTTAAACATCAAACATAAAATCAAGTTCTTCATTTGGAAATGCATTCAAGGTGCTCTGCCTGTGAAAGCAGTAGTAAGTAGACAAATGGGGGTGGGTGATCCGATATGTAAGATGTGTGGAACAGCACAGGAAATAGTCGAACATCTTCTGCTGACTTGCCCCCACACGAAAAACATATGGAAGGCATCTCCCATTCAGTGGGATGGAGCAAACACTACAGGAAAATAGGCTTTTTGTGATGTTTTCGCTGCGGCACAAGAAGAAAATGCAGCAAATAAAGAGCACATTTCAAATTGTATGGCAAGGTTGATAAGGGGCATAATTTTTGTGGCAAAATGACGTAGTTTTAATAAATCCAGAGTAAAGAAAAGGGAAAAGAAAAGGGAAAACGCCTTTCACTTCCAATGTCTCCTTCATTCTCCGCTAATTTCAAAACCCCCCACTTCTTTCTTCTAAACTCTAAATTCTGATTCCAAATTCCCAATGAACTTGTCTCGCTTTCTGTCTCTCTCTCTCTCAAATGGTCAAATCTAATTCCACCTCCTCCATTTTCCACCCAATACGGCCAACGAATATGCGGCAACCACCTTCATCTTTGAGATACAGAGGAAATCTGGAAGAGTAGATTGATTGATTGCTAATTGGTTTTGACGCCTGAAGCTAGGGTTTTAACGCGAGGAAGATGGACCTCTTCCATTTTTATTCTCAGCAGTTGAAGTCGATTCCCAATTGCAGTGTTTCTTCCTTGTTGTTGTATCTCTCTTTGTTGCTCTTCTTCTTTGTCTCTTTCCAATTCTAAAGACTCGATCACATTCTCAAAGGAATATGGTGAGATTTATAGCTAACGATAGTTTTATCTCAATTTTGTGTTTGTTCTTAGGTTTAATGACTTCTGGCATGATTTTGAGAAGTTAAACAGTTTCAGGTCACTTTGCCAAAAGTGAATAAATTGGTTTTCACTGGCTGGATTTGCTTCTCCATGTAATTTTTATCATCGGTGAACTAATTTTAGCTTTGAGAGAACTTACCCAACAATTTTGCTAGCTATTCTGGTTCAAAAGCAAGGTAATTAAGCTCAATTCCTTTGCGATTTTTTTCACTTTATTCATTTATTTTATGGTATAATCAAGAGAATTTATTACATGACCTTAGTGCTCAGGAGTTTATAGACTTTTGTGGTTATTTTTATGTATTTTTTGTAATTCTTTAAAATATTTTTAATGCGACCTAAGGGGAGATAATAGGAGTTTACTCTCGTTTTAAAGAGTCCAGCCCATATTGCAGATGGACAATGGAATCGCCTGAGCAACTCAATACAGTCGTTGTCTTGAAACAACGAGATAGCAGCCGTTGGCAGAAGGTACATTTGAAGCTTTAGTGCACTCCATCCTCTAGTTTATATATTTGTCCGATTATCATGCTACTGATATTAGGTGTTATTTGTAATTCTGTCATAAATGCCTGTAAACAACTCTCCCTGTTCTTGGAGACTGGGGACACACAAATAGTTTAGGAGAAATCCCAACTTTGGAGCATAATCATTTCAAGAAAGTGGAAAATGGCAATCAAGTATTGCTGTTTTAGACCAAGTAATTCCTGATTTAATCCTTAAAAATGGTTACAAGGCATACAAACTACTTAAAAATGCACTTGCTTATGGTAGCAAGAATTTTTGCGTCACACTATGATATGGTATGATAATATTGTAACACAAAATTGTTAAGCATGATTGCCTCTACGGGTATAATATTAGGCCCACCTTCTCTCATTATTAACTTGGTGTTACTACTTGTAGCAACTTTGGTTAATTCTTTTACGAGTTCCAGTTTCTTATATGTGTGTGTTATTCTGCCCAGATTAATACATGCAATGGCTTCTAGTTGGCTATATCCCAAATAAGCTTATAAACCCAGGATGCAGACTGAAGGCTGGACTGGCTGGTAAATTATTGCTTATTTTTTCATAGATGGTTTGACAAAATTTTTGAAGTTTTATAACAGGAAATTCACTGTCTTATGTCTTCATTTGCATGCTACTTCCCAAATAAGCTTGTAAACTCAAAATTTTTGAAGTTTTTATGCAAAATGGTCTGTTTTCTTACGAGAAAGTTTAGGGATCTATTTAGTAGAAGACAAGTGCTAAACTTCTCCTTCAATTATGTCCCTTTAACCCTGTGATCTATATCAATTCATGCGCTCAATATATCTATAAGGGTACCACTACTAATGGTAGGAAGGTTGTGCTCAATAAGCTTGGGTTGTCCAGATGCAAGGTAATTAAGCTTATATGATCTGCAATTCATTTTTATTTATATGCACCTTTTATCATATTTATGGAGAATGATTAAAAGTTGTTCAATGTTGGCAGTTGATAGGTTCTAAATGTGGAATTTTATGGTGTTTTTGCCTTCTGTTGTTTTGGAATTTAAAGTGATTAAGGTGAAATAATGGGGATCTAGCATCAAATTTTGAATAGCATTCAACTTTAATTCCAAAGTTTCTGATTTCGGCTAATTTTCTAATTCCCAGCAATAGTGTACTTCATATCATTAGCTTTTGACGATGCATTTATTATCGCATGGATTTTGGCTTCATTTTTTTGCTATTTATACTTTATTTTGAATGAAATTTTTCAGAAAAAAAGATTTTTTTGATTTAAATAATGGCTACTCTGCCATTCATTGTCATAGACCCATTGTCATGCCTACTCTGCCATTCATGGTCACAGAGTTACTTCCCAAAGCAGCTCAAATTCCGTTAGTCCATTGGTCATGCTCCCATATCCTGAACCGCTAATGCCAGTGTGTGTTGGTTACCCCATCTCCAACGATGCAGTTATTACTAGTTAGACCCATATTATTGCTTGTTGATATTAATTTCATGTCATTCGCCATTATTGATGCCCATGATACCACCACCAAGCTGATTTGACATCATCGTTTCATGTATGATTTTTTGAACAGAACTCTGGGAATCATTTGCATCTGTGTCACTAGAAAGTGCTGGCTGCTGCATTGCAATGTTCGGTGAACTAGCAGAATTCGTGTGCATTCTAGTCGGTAAGCCACCAAGTGAAGTCTGTGGAGGATCGTTAGATGATGATGCCGTTGGAGACTGGAAAGGAGAAGGATTGAGTTGCGGTTGTAGCAAGGTACTCAAGGAACACTAGGAGATGGCATCTGAACACCATTTCCTCCGTAAGGACCATTTGCGCTACTCTTCTGGTTTTTACTGTCTCGAGTTCATTGAGTTTTGATGACGCAGCCCAGTTATATATGGCACTAGTAGAGGAAGTTGCAGGAGCCGAATTCAGTGGATTATTTACATTTGCCATGCCATTTCTGGAAGGAAGTTGCAATTATTACGAAAAATGTTTCAATGTGGCCTAGCCATATTGAAACGTGATGACTTTTGCAAAATTGGTTGAAATTAGGAACTACTTGTGCCTTTTGGAATTAGGTTATGATGATGAATTTGGAAATTTGCAGTGATTGTTTCCATTTAGATAGTGAATTGAATTACTTACTTGAAAGGGAAATGTACTACAAGCATGAAAAATAATTCATAAAATATGCAAAAAGTGTAATTCACTGCAGTGCATCTGTTTCTTGAAGGAGACTATTTAATATTTGTGACGCAATTTTTGTGCCGCATGATTATTTGCGGCACAATTTTTGTGCCGCTTGCATATTTTGTGGCACTAATATGTGTCACTAATTGAGCCGCAAATGCTTGCGACACATTTAAACAAAGTGTCGTTTTCTTTTGTAACGGCTACTTTTGAGGCACAAAGGAATTGTGCCACAAAAGCGCCGCAAATACTTTTTTGCGGCGCTTTTTGGGCTTTTTGTGGCACATTCTTGGCGTCGCAACAAGCCATATTTCTTGTAAGGATCAGCAGGGAGACTTCAAAAGGTGGTGGCTAAGAATCTCAGAAGCAAGGCACAGGTCAGAGGGGATGGAACACATTGGATTAACTGCAAACATCCTGTGGCAGGTGTGGAAAGAAAAAAATAAAAGAGAATTCGAGAACACTACCCTTGTTCCTCCATTCAAATATATAGGGAAGGCACATTCTGAATGGTTAGAGCAGCTGCAGCTAGAGTACAAGGAGAAAGGAGAGAGCACAGAAGAAACAGTCCCTAGGCAAGATGTACAGGATCAGAATTATGTAAATGAAGGAGAAGTGCTAATGGAGATGACTACAACCACGAAGCAAGGGCAGCTATTTGCGGGAATTGGAGTCACAGTTAAGATTTTTGCAAGTAATATGATGATAGGGTGGGCACTGAAAGACATTAGTTCCGGTAACAAACTCCTAGATGAAGCTCTGGCACTGAAGTTGGTGTTGTGTAAAGCTGTACAACGAAAGTGGAGCAAACTTAAGCTGAGATTTTGTAACAAGGAATTGTGGAGACAATTAAAACATCAGAACCCAGCGGACAGCAAAATGGCAACAGTACTTGAAGACATCTCTCAGTTACAGAGATTGTTTTGCATGTGCTCTTTTGGTTTGTATAGGGAAGAAAATATGATAGTTAGTAAAAAAATGAGTGCTGATGCTTTAAGCATTATTGTGGATGAGGAGCGACAGCTTCCTCAGTGTCTTTGAACACTAGTTGTAGAGTTTCGATCGAGCCGTTGCTCGTACATGTAATTTTTTACCATTAAAGCAATGAAATCATGACAAAAAAAAATGAATGCCCTGATTCAAAGGCTAACTAATTTCATCTCTTTGAAGCTTTCAATAGTATCCTTGAGGCTCACCTCCAAAGGCATGAACTCAATGCCCAAACCTTTTACTTTCCCATTTGATACATCATATTTCTGCTGAATTAGGGGACTACCATTAGAACATCTGCAAAACGTTAAAACCATTTCAGAACAGGAAAAAAAATGAGGTAAAAGTGAGAATACAGCTGGTATTGAACTGAACTCTTCAAAAGTAAGGCAGTTTACTAATTACTATCCAATGTTGCCAAGGTCCATCTTGCATTCTAATGGATTAGGATCCAGAGAAGAAGCTAATGAATAGGTACAGAAGGATGCAGTACTCTTTATCATGTTGAGAAAGAAGCCAAAAGATGAGATACATTTTGGAGCTGCAAACAATCAACTAAAGCATGCAAAGACGTCAGTGTGGCCTAACGGAGCAGGAAAACCAGACTCACTTATCGGGCAATTGGAGAGTAGGGAAGAGTTCAGTCAGAATCTTGATAAGTTCACAGCAGCCTGCAGTTCTCTCAGCTACGCAATATCTTCCACTGGCAGAAGCGATTTCAAAGGCAACAATATGTGAATATACAACATCTCTAACATCAACCCATGGTATAACCACAGTAGGGAATGGGTCAATTCCTGCATTCGACAGTAAAAGGGATAACATCTCTTACCATATAGACGAGTATCATTACTTGTAAAGTCAGGATACTTAAAAGAGAGATGTAAATAGTCAAACGTGTCAAATTTCTATTTAACATGAAGTATTTCACTTCATTTTTCTGGACATTTTACAACCCAAAAACTATATAAAAAAAGAGGGAACGTGAGAAACCAGGTCAGGTAAATAACGCTGGAGTCTGAGAGAGTCTGCATGGGAAAATGATCAAGTCATGGACACCAAGCAGATTGTCAGGCAACTTATGCAAAATCTGCAGAGACTAGAGACCACAACAAGCTAGTACTGAATAAAATGCTCAGACTGGTTACTCTATCTTGTAAGAAAGCTTTAGAAGCCACCACAACAAGCTCCAATTCCTATATCGTCTGCTATAAGAAGTCTTTCAACTACTAAACTGTGTTTCAAATGAAAAGCCTCCAAGTCCTATGCGACTACCTCAAAGTAAATAATTCGTCTAACTGAAGCAGATGTTTTTGTTTAATTCACATTGAACTTCCAAAGCTTTGGCAGTGAAGAAATGCTGACACAGGTAAGTTCCAAAGAAGAATTTGGTAGCAAGCTCTTTAGACAATATGATTGTATACCCAGCAACTAGACATATGCGCTCACCTGTTTGTATTCATGTGCATTACATAATCAAATAAAAAGAGTTGAAATGATTACATATGATGCCCAATAATGCATACCTATTGTGTGCAATGTATATTTTTTCTGTAATATAAAATGATCAGGCTTACAACTTCACCAGAGTCAACCACGGCTTCTTTGTTTTATTTGTGTACAAGAAACTTTCTGTAGATTGACTACTTAACAATATGATAAATTTCTTAACATACCATTTACTAGGCTCAAGATCACTTCTGCACTCAAAGTGGTAGAAGGCTGCAAGAATGGACCAATGACCATTCCTGGATTAATTGCAATCATGTCAATGCCATGCTCCTTTGAGAAATTCCAAGCAGCATTCTCTGCCAAAATTTTTGATAGTTGATACCATAACTGGAAAGAGAGAAAATATTTGGTAGCTTTAGTTGAAAGCATAATTCTTCAAGTCGGACATTAGAAAAGTATGTTTTCTAGACACTTGGGAGACCATCCAGTCACATTCCCTAAATCCTTCTACTCTGGAGAAATGGGGCTTATTTTAGAAGTATACATGGCTCTTAACAGGGCTAATTTTTCTCCCTCCTGACAATGTCAGTTGATCGCATCGAATGATTATAGTTATTGGCAGATTACTTGCTAAATTTAGTGTTTTGCTTTCTTAGCACTTGAGTAAACAACAAAACAGAAACTAAAGTTCACATTTTCAGTAGCGTGATGTTTTCTTTGTGCATATGTCAATAAGCCTTCTCAAGCAAGCATTCCAATATTCATTCCATAGTAATATACTTTTTGGCTTCGAAGTAATCCCACACTTCTTTCATCTATAAAACACATTCTTTTGGTCTGCTATCAATCTGTTGCGCGCTTTTAGCGTTTTGATTTTGTTGATGCCATCAAATAGTTAGCAATGCTAGCAATAGGAAAGTTTCGTCTCCGTTGCTTCCTTTTGTTTTCTTTACTTTATCTTTTGTTAAGTATCTTCTTCCACTCACAAAGGCTGAGGTGCTTTTGCATGGGTGATCATGGTAAGGGCTCTTTTGCTAAGCCTTTTAAGAGAGGATGTGTTATCAGCGTGATGAATATTTAACTGTAGAGCCTTCTGTCAATTTCTTTTAACCAGATTTCTTATTTTGTATGGAAGTAACAAGTTTCCTAGTTAATTTTAGTTACTTGAAGTAGTAACTAAGGAATTTCCTATTTTTTGTAGGATTTAGAAGTTATTTCCTATTCTATATAAGTTTAGAAATTAGTATTAATTTCCTGTTGTTATTTAATTTTTAGCCAAATAATATTCTCTATAAATAGGTGGGTTGACATACTATACAAGATATACACAAGAGCACATAAGGGCGATATATAACCTTATACATGGGATGTGAGAGAGGGTTCTTGAGAGATGAGAAGTGATATACAATGGTTGGGTATAGGTTAAAGTTGTATTTTTGTATAGGTTTTTTTTTCTATCATAATAAAAAACATGTTTCTCTCCGTAGACATAGGTTCAATGGTAGAGTCAAACTATATTAAATATTGCGTGTCGTTTATCTTTTATGTTTATGACTTGTTAATCATTAAATTGTTGTGTTATTGATATTTCAATAGTTATGTGTTCCACGTTTGAATCCTAACAAGTGGTATCAGAGTTTGTTCGCGAGACTGAACTACTCACAAACACTTAAATCCCAACAAACTAGTATCAGAGCGGGGTTCATGGTTGGATTCTGGTTAGCTATTGTGATCAAGTGAGTTGGTGGCTATTACCAATTGAGCAATTTAATGGGTGGTATCCTTGTTTCAAGAGTTTGACAAGAAGCATTAAAAGTGAAGGATGGAAAGTCGAAAAGAATGGAGATACTTGACAGTGAATTTAGTCAGGTGATTCAAGGATAAAAAAAAAGAAGTGAAATCCAACGTTAATTTTGGACATGAACTAGTAGAGATATTCTTACAGTTCTATCGGTTGATATTTCATCACAAATGGTTACTAGATTCAGATTATATTCTTTAGGTGGTGTGACATGTGTTCTAAAGAAACAAAGAGATCTAATTTTCATATGCTAGAAGGCTCTAACAGTTATTAGTTTTTCGTTTTAAGTGGAGTTTTAGAAATCATACGTGGCGAGACAGTCCTAAAAATGGAAAGGAATATGTTTGTTTGGATAGCAAATTATCTCAAATAATATTTCGCTTGCATCATTAACACATTTCCAATTACTTTTTTATCTCACATACATCACATCACAAAAAGTACTACAATAATTATTCTAAATAATATTTCAAATAATACTCTATCCAAACAAATTCAGAAGAGATGTTTAGAAAGGGAATTCACAGAAGACAAATAGTTTTCTATTTGGATTTTACTTTTTTTCATTTTTTTTGGGTTTTTTCTTGGCAAATTATCACAGTAAAAAATATGCCATAAAAGAGGAACCTTAAAGAGGGCCTAATCGAAATAAATTACTATAACATACTGAAACCTCACTGGAATGCTTGTAATTGTAGAATTACAATTAAGTACTCCTGTCTTCTTTTTTTTCTTCATGGCACTTCAGTCCATGTTCTTTTATGTAGCTTGTTTGGAGATGGCGAATTAGTAATTAAAGTTCAAAAAAAATATTTAAGGGATATAATACTATTACACAGAAATCAAGAACATGAAAATAATCGAACATTAATTTCTGTACCAATAAAAAAAGCATCATCATTCTCTTAAAATCAACTGACCAAATTACTAAACCATTTTCCCAATTCCCACCACACCAAAAAACAAAGTACTACAATAGATAAAGAAAAAGATTTCCCAAATAATTCTCAAGATTCTATGTTTGGTTGTTTGTACGTGTCAATTGTTGTTTTTTTTTTTTGCTTAAAAAAAAATGAGATTGTTGTTTTGAAGAGTATTCTTAAGGAAAATGAGATTGCATGCTGTTACTTACTCTATATCATGGTGCAATGGGAGGACGGAAGTTTCGTGTGTGGAGTATTTTCCAATTTCCATACTCTGTCGGCTTTGGAGGTTTGCGTTTGGACAACAAATTTTTTTTAAAAACATTTTTGCTTGCATCATAAACATATTTCTCAATCACTTTTTTATATTTCCAACCATTCTTTTATCTCATATACATCACATTTCAAAAAGTGTTACAGTAATTATTCCAAATAATTATTTGAAATAATACTCTATCCAAACAAAGAAGGAAATCTTGAGTTACAAGAGGTGATGAGAAGAAATCTTGCAAAGGGAGATGGTGAATTGAGACACCTTCTCGCAAGTCAACTGGAGGTTGGATTCGAAATAACTACACATGTTCATTTGCCGAAATCAATTTGGTGTCAAAACTGTATTGATTCGGATGTATAGTTCAGTACCATATTATTTGATAGTTGAAGATAAATGGTTGTTAAAAGAAATATTCGTCAAGGTGGAAATTTATTAGGAAATTGGTTTAAGTTCTTTTAGGCAAATTTTTTGTTTTGTGTGGAAGTAACTAACTTTCTAATTAGTTTTAGTTACTTGAAATAGTGACCAAGAAATTTTCTATTTTATTTAGGATTTAAAAGTTATTTCCTATTCTGTATAAGTTTAGGAATTAGCATTGGTTTCCTGTTGTTTATTTGATTTTTTGGCTAAATAATATTCTCTATAAATAGGTAGATTGACATACTACTCAAGAGACACATAAAAACACATAGAGAGGACATGTAACT